AATTCATATTTTTAAATTATATGATTTAATTATTATTTTACAATTGGAATAATCAAAATTATTGTAAAATTAATATATTTTTATATATTTATTAAATTATAATTAACACAAACGTTACACAAGCATATAATGTAGGATTATTATGGTAATCGGTCAAATTTAGACCCCCTCCTGGTTTTTATTGTACAAGTCGACCCCCCTATAACACTGTTGATTTTTCCGTTTTATATGAATTCCGTGTTGTACGAGTCACTTATATTTTACAAATACGTGAGCCGTTCACAGCCCAGCACACGTATTTGTAAAATCTAAGTGACTGGTACAACATGGAATTCATATAAAACGGAAAAATCAAAAGTGTTATAGGGGTTCGACTGTATTTCTTAACGTTTTGACAGTCCGAGAACCTCCAAAAAATTTAAAAAATCTCTTACAAAATTCTGTGTTGTGTCTAATTTTTTATTATATCTCAGGACTGGATGAACCAAAAATTTGAAACAGAACTAAACCCATATATATATAATGTATTGGTGCTATTAATTTTGATAGTTAAAGGTCAAGAGGTTGGGGAAATAAAGGTGGTTATATCTCGAATGGAATCTGTAAAAGTTTTACTTGTTTTATCGTTTACAGTTTCCTTAAAAACTCACTCCTACCCCCAAATAAGTCTTTTTATAATAATTAATAATATAAAAGCTATTTTTTAATGAATCTCATGTAAATTATGATTTTCGTGAAAGTCGTCGTGTAAGAGCTCTTGCCAGTCTTTATGTATAACATAACTATTTCAATTAAATAACATCTGAAGTATTACATAAATACAGAACTAAAATAAAAACATGTTAAATTTGATTGTAAAATATAATCTTAATGTTAAATCGAAGTGTAATTGCTAACAATTAATTAAAAGATGTATTTAACTTAAATTATCAATTGTTAACATTGATATTTATACAAAAGTTTCCTTCAAATCATAGTTTAAAATGGTTAATAGAATGAAAGAATTAATTAAAAATTACTCTCGCAGTTTTAAACATTGCTTAACAAATTTATTTAACTGTTTCCTCTTTATTATACTATTAGATAAATATATATAAGTGGTATTTTCTATATTCTATGATTTCTATAAAAGCCACTGTGTTATCTATTTTAACAAGCAATGATACCTTTTTTAAAAATATTTTACTGTTTTCTAAAATGCTATTGTTGGGTGTTAATTTAAAAATGTGTATGTCACAACTAGAGCTAATAGATTCTAAAGGGTTAGGAATTAAAAATAAACTTAATAATTAAATTATATAATTAATTTTTAGCATTTTATATTCCTAAAATTGCTTATTTTAAACGTATTTTATATTATATATGTAATACATTCGAAAATACAGAGTAAGTCATTATGCAATTTTCATTCAAAATATAATGCTTTATGAATACTGAAAAAAATATATACAAGTCTTATTCAAATATTACTTAATCAGCGATTAAACCCATCATATTATAATCTGTTCGATATGTTTGCTCTCAATTTCAACAGTCTATTGTGGAAAGCACCATGGAAAGAAATTGACTGGGTGGCTTAGTTTTTCGATCTGAATCCTTTAGACTTGTCATGGAAATATCTTGTGTACAGTGTCAATGGCGCGTTATCCTATGGGCAAAAAGGGACCTTCACCAAGAGAGGATCCTAAACCATCTTTTATATATCAGAAAAAAATTCCCCAGAAACTTCCTCGAAGAAAAATGTCTGAAGTCAACACTGTACATGGAGCGATAATTCAAATTTGCCTGGGCCCCATGAAGCTATATAGTGTACCAAATTAGCGTAAAACGTTTGGAGGAACTCGAGGAATCTATTGAGTATGAAAACTTCACTTTTCCGAAGATATTCATGGAAGTATTATGTCAAACTTTGGCAGAAGATTCGTGGAAATATCTCGAAGATAGTGTACAAACAATCGTAAAAAATTTGGAGAAACTCCAAGTGTGCTGAGTATGGAAAAGTCACTCTTTTGAAGTCATTCTTTGGCAGAAAATTAAAGATAAACATATTGAACACGTTGTAATATAAGTGGTTTCAAATAATAATTCTAATAACATTTGAGTAAGATTTGTATTTCTCGTTCAGTTGTAATAAAGTATTAAACCTAGACGATACCTTTTATGCCACCCATGTAACAATGATCTAGCTGTAATAATGTTGATTTTCATTACAGTATATTATTTTAATTTTAAAAAAAAGCATGATAGACATAAATATGTACAATAAAGTGAATGATATCATCTTTATAATTCACTAGATAATGTTTATTGAAATTTGGTTACATAGTGAATCACTTATCCAGCATTGAATATGGGAAGATTAATAAATAGCTTTCAGGAATGCACACAGATTATGGAGATGAACACAGTAAAATATATAAATACAGAAATAGCAATAATATCGTTGAGTATTAAAAGAAGATAAATCGAATAGATAAATGGATATAATCACATGATTAAATAATGTAAGGATATAGTCGTAATGCACAGAAATTGTGGAAGTTATTCCTCTTCTAAACAGCGTAAAATAGCAAATAATTGTAGTTTACACAAATGAAATTTAGATTATTATATATATTTATAGAAAAAACTTTAATTCGTTAATCTTCTTGGCCGTAAAAGTCTCTTTGGTCCCATATACCATTCTAACTTACATCCAACGAAATTAATTTGTTCGTTTATTGTAGCCCATAGCATATGTCAATCAATTACACAATTAATGCCCATATTCGAAAATATTCTTCGTTATCAAAGTCTTAAGAATGTTTTATTTTATAAAACGTTATAATATTCAGAACCTTTAAATGTGATTCTGATTATTTATTAGGGCAAATATGATTTTAATTCGATTANTATTTATTTTAAAAAATTATCATCAGATTTACTGTAAAAATCTTTATTATTGATATTTTTTTTAATCTGTTTAAAGAGGACGAAAGGTTATCTCCAAATACATGCTAACAAATTTAACAGCAAACTGTATTAATTTATTACAGATAAACCATTCGACTGTGCGTACATTAATTCCCACTTATCGTGATTCTAACAAAACCTAATTTAAATAATAAACCGCATGCTATCATTAGTTTAATAATTTCCTTTCATATTCTGTCCTAAATATAGCAATATCAATCTTTTCTATGTATCAAACATTAATGAATGCGTATATAAAAGAAAATATGCACGATAATTCTTTTGTTAACACGGCACTTTACTTTAAGAAGCATCGTAAATTTAAGCATCTAAACTGAATAAATACGTGGTTCTTTTTTAAATAAATTCTTTATTATAACTACTGTTTAGTCGGATATTTTATAATTGTTCGAGATCTCCCCTCTGTTGATAAATACAGGTGAATTGTTCTATACTTACGAAGCTTACTTAACACAAAATTAACCAATGTTTGTTTTAATGTAATAAACAATTTACAGGGGAAAATGTGTTTATATTTCCCTTCTATTATCTTATTTATGCTTAAAACAGTTCTCGTGAGAAGAATCAATATAGAATATTCGATTTAACGTGTGTTCTTGTAACACATATCACATTGTTTGTGATAAAGCGATATGTATATGTTTACAAATTCTTACGAGAATTAACATTAATTTTTAAAAGAAAACTGCTGATATTTCGTGTGAAAATAAGTTTACATTATTAGATTTTTTATTAAAAAAAGTAATAAAACAATAACTCATCATCATGTGTTTAATGAATAGCATCGCCTATTTGTTTTCATAGGAAGAGCAAACATAGGAAGGAAACTGAGTAATTGTTATGCAGTAAACCCTCGATTTAACGGAATAATTGGAGAGGGGTATCCGCTATTTCCGAAAGTACGTTAATTCGAATGTGTTTTAACATTAAAATGTGTAAGGTGTTATTGTGACGCATATAAGTGAATCTTTAATCCCATCTTTCTATAGGAGAATAAAAAAGATTTAACTTCTTTTTATACGACAGAAAATGCGTTAAATCGGGGTCAGTTAAATTGAGATTTTATTTCACTGCTAAATATTTTTTAACGTTTTTCCCCCTACTGTTTTACAACAATCACAAATACAGTCGACCCCCTTATAACTGTAGATAATTCCGTGTTATATGAATTCCATGTTGTACGAGTCACTTAGATTTTACAAATACGTGAGCCGTTCACAGCCCAGCACACGAATTTGTAAAATCTAAGTGACTCGTACAACATGGAATTCATATAAAACGTGTTATAGGGGGGTCGACTATATTTAAATAAAGCATATTATACAAAGACTTTCACACAAACTTGAACATCATCACCAGATTTCAAATGAATTGTTTAAATTATCTGTTTAATGTATGTTACTAAAGAACAGAAACATGTTTACGCCCCTTTCACGTGATCTGGTTTAAAACTGTGGCAGTGGCTAACAACAGTGTCATAATCTAAACACGGCAGCCAATTGTCTATTCACAGTGACAGTACACACAATATTTTCTGTACTTTCAATTAGTTTGTTTTCATATTTATTTGGAACAGTAGTTCATATAAGAGTATAAAAGTACACAATAATCTTGACCATTCCATGGCAAAAAACCATGCAGCAAAACAAAACTAGTCACAAATGGTATTTTACCATAACCATATCGTGCAAAGGTTCCACAGAAATCATCAGCTAATGGCAATTTATGCAACCATTGCTTGCCATGGCCATGCAAACCACATCATGTGAAAGTGGCTTAAAGTATAAAGTATATTTAATCATGTTGATTGTTTTATATCACTGTAATGGATTCTATAACTGTAATAATATTTATGTACTAGATATTTTACCCTATAATAGGGTTTTAACTCTTATTACTCAAACAAATAAACTTAATAATATGAAAATAAAATATCAATACTTTTGGAAAAATTAATTTTATTACATACAAAAGATGAATTTTCAGTAATATTTTAAATAATTTTAAAGTGAAATTATTATTTATGACTAACCTTTCCTGATAATTTCCCTGAAAAGATCTTTTTCCCTATATCCTTTTGGAATTTGTCCATTATGCTATAATGTAAATTTATTAGTATTAAAAACATATATATATATATAATTAATTTAATTTAATTTTATAATAAATGAATTTACCTCTTTTTTCCATAGTTCTAAATACTTAAGAATAACAACAATGTATGGGATATGGCTATAATCCTACATCAAACAAATAAAACTTAATTTTAGGTGTTGACTAAACTTATATATTACTTTAATTAATTAAAATAATAATTTATGACAACTAAAAATTCCATAACAATAACATTCTGTAATTTTATATACAGTTTAAACCTTGATATAGTGTCCCTTTTGTGTAGAGCCACCCTCGGAGTGCCAATGAATACTCAAGAATGGAGCTTCCTTTTAAATATTAATTAGAGAATTTTGATAATTCTCTAATTAATATTTTGTCTGTGAATTAATAAATATTACGATTCATTTTCACAAATGTCTCCGAAATGTACAAACTGAAACGTAGTTAACTGACTTTTTGTCACTCTGCATTTGAAACTTTCAATCAATATCACCGGGAGTTCCTTTTTACATTGTTAACAGTTCATTATATTTGATTTTTATACGTAAACTTTCAAAACTTTAAAATAAACAATCAGAAATTCTCACCTTTTTATTCATATTTTCAAAATCGTAAGATTCAACGTGTTCTTGCAGACTAGGAAAAGGATTATCTAATCGCAAATCGTATAACGTATCGTCCGGATGAGATTCCGTAACTGAAAAACCAAAACATCTTTCATTATCGTTCCTAACATATAAAATATAAGTAATTTAAAACTACAAACCAGTATGTTCTGTAACTTGGAGTCTCATATAACCAACCATACCGTAAGATCTGCATACTAGAAAAGGAATGTTGGCTTCCCATAGTTTCTCAGACAGAGTTAATAATGTTCTGAAAATGTATTTGAATAAATTATTTGCGATCAAATTAATTATTAGATTCAATAAATTAAATTTTTTTTACTTTTCTGTTAGAGATGTCCCAATGACGACAGAAAAATTATTGAAAAATGTCGAATTTGCTTCTAATAACTCTTCGGGTGTCTAAAAATGAAAACGGTTCCATAAAAATTCTGTTAATATACAATATACATATTAATTTTAAAAATTTCTGAAGCTTTCACATGTCTATATAAATCATGTTTTAACCTATAATGTTGTCAAGGTGACTTCTTAAAAATCTTCTGTATATTAAAGCAGGGAATAGACTAATAAAGAAGATCGATTCTGCTATGCAATTCTGTAATACAGGACAAGGTTTCCCTTACCAATTTAAGTTATCGTAATTATGTTAATTATTATCTGAAAACACTGAAAAACTGTCCAAGCTTCACATTTGCCTATTACAATTTCTCAATGTNTACTTTTATATTAATATTTTATTGTGTTTAATATCTAGGACGTAAGTAAATTATTTTTTCCTCTCTTAAAATTCTTCATCTCTCTTTCTAATAATACGAAATAAATATCATTTGTTTAGTTTGACTTTAATTTTATTTTTATTAAGATATAAATATTGATTATATTATTTTTTTTAATAATTTCGTTTAGATCTTTATTTGTTTTTCCTCAGTAAAAATTTATAATTTATTAGCCTTTAAACTTGTAAATGGGTTTTAAATTATGGAGTTTATTAATATGTTAGTAATTTGTAATCCATAATTGATTTCATTCATTAAAATATGGTTTTAAATTCAATAAAACCTAGATAAAATATGCTGTGCTGCTTCAGATGATAAATATTATATAAAAAGAGAAAGAAATTAAAGTTTCCATCTTCATCATCATCTTTTTCTTCATTATTGTCATCATATTTATCATCATATTCTCCCTCCTCATATTCTTCGTCTTATTCGTCTTCATCCTCTCAGCTCCATCATCGTCGTCTTCTTCTTCTTTATTATCAACAAAAAATGACTCCCTTTTCCATCAACGAATTAAAACAATTAAAAATTTAGTTCCTAATAAACGTTTATAAAACATATTTATATACGTTTATTTCCTTACTGTTTACAAAGAAATCTACAAAAACAAATTAAAATAATTAAATATTGATCAAACTAAATTATATTAATATATTACAATATTACTACAATATGTTAATGTCGTTACTATATTATCACGAAGTTAGATTACTGACGTTATTAATTAGATCATATTACTCATTATACAATCACCATGTTTATTATTATCATGTAAAATTACAATATGATCAAAGTAGTAAGAGTTTTCGTCGTTTTCTTTGTTGTAAGGGAGAGGTATGCCTTTGCTACGTTCCTCCCTTTTGAATTATTTATTAAGTTATATTGTATGTTTAATAATAATCAATAATTATTGCTTGAATCACCTCGTTTATGGGGTGAGATGTTTCGCTCAGTACTACTTTAAAGCAGTACAAGTCGACCCCCCTATAACACTGTTGATAATTCCGTTTTATATGAATTCCATGTTGTACGAGTCATTTATATGATATTTTACAAATACGTGAGCGGTTCACAGCCCGGCACACGTATTTGTAAAATCTAAGTGACTCGTACAACATGGAATTCATATAAAACGGAAAAATCAACAGTGTTATAGGGGGGGGTCGACTTGTATTTATATTTGATATTACTTCCAGGTATGGGAGTTCGCAGAAAATTTTCCAGCTTAGAGACAAATAATTACATTAATAAATTTTTATTCATTTAACTGTATGGAGTTTTTAAGGGGTTTTTAAAAAGGTTTTTAAGGTAAAGTGACCCATAGTCTAGGGGATAAGCTTACGTATCTCAATCATTTCTGTTATAATTTGGGGAATTTTTACTCGGTCTCAGGGGGTTTTCTCCCCTCTGAGGACACTCTCCAGAGTATACTCTAAAGCTACGTTAATGAATACATTTAATTATACTATTTTTGTATTTCTCCTCCATTCTTTGCGTATAAAAGTATAAAAATAATATTTTAAAATGTTAATATTTCTAAATGAATTTTTATTATGACAATTTAACACCAGTAACGTGAAAAAATTGAAATATATTCGAAAATTATTCTCGTTTGTCACCATTATCCATTCGTTAAAAACAAGGCACAGTGTTGTCTGACACGTGATACAATCATTAAACGACAAGACCGCTTTTACCACGCCTAGTGTCATTTAGTTGAGTAGAATTCGTGAAACACGCCAGCTGTAACAATATAACCAGATAAAAGTATAGTCTTATCGTGTTGTAGTGGTAAATGGAAATTATACTGAGTTATTTTCTTACTTATAAAAGTTTCTAACATACAAAGGCAATATAAAACCCTATATTTCAGTGCTGTATAATATATTTTACACTTTGAAAATTCGTTTTACTGTCAAATAATAATAATGTAACTTATCTAACTGAATGATTGATTGGTCTTTCCTTGAATTTATATCTAAGCATTTTTATAGTTAGATATTTATTTAATTAAGACAAAATTCATTAGATTTTGAGGTATTTTTGATGAAATAATAAGTAAAAAAATACACGAATTGAGCATAATATTGGATTTAAGTTTATCTCTAAATCACTAGAGATAAATTTCAGTTCAATATAATAAAATATGTATTACCAGATATATTATTATACATTGTGTGGCTGTAATTTTTTTTTAATTGCAAGCCCATACATTCCTATTATCGTTCGTCTGAGTGTCCTTCGTTATTCTCGAGAACGGAGTTGGATAAATTAAAATCGAGACTAGATATGGAAAACATAAATGCTGGAGGGTTCGATTAAGTATATACAAACTTCCGGTTAAATCGGAAGTCACGTGATTTCAATTCTAATGTTTTTTTTCAGTACGGAGTTAGGTAGATGACCGAGATGACTCTATTGTTATCAGGAGAAGTATGATGTACAGGGGCAAGACACTACTTAAATCTAGACAAGATATGCAAATTAGAGGGGCCGAAGATCCCGATTTATACACGAACTTTAATTAAAACTACAAAATGAATAAATATTTGGATTTTTAAAAAGGTAAATAGTAAACGAGCAATTATTTATTGTGGCACCATCATAATGCTGGACTGCAATTTGTAATCATCTTTTAATATATAAAAAAAAAAATTAAAGTTTAATTCGGCTGATTTAATATACAGAAAAATAATAAAATTTCTTATTATTATTTAAGATTTTTAATGCTATTTATTAAATATAATAATAAGATTTAGTGGTAAATTTCTCAGCTCTACCTGTTACACCACGCAAATGTATAAGAGTATCCAGAAAACATTCCTAAAATCGCAGTTTTAATTATATAATATTTAATAAATTATTAAATATTCAAAAATTTTAATTACAATTTTATTCCAGAATTTTATTACATAGAATAAATAATAATACTTCACATATGTACACCAAACTTGACAAAAAAATATATGCTATTTACATTGTAAAATGCTAAAGTGAATATTAACAAAACACAATTTTAAAAGGAGAAAAAAACATTATTAAATCTACTATCATCACTAATTAATTTTAATTATTTAAATTTATTTAAAAAATTACAATATTTATTAATTTGAATTTTTAATAAAATATAACAGTGTAATTATACATTTTTTCAAAATAAAATTCTCTACTTTTATGTATCTATTTACTGTAGTTAATTTTATTATTGATATACATTTGTTTAAGGCCTACAGGGCTTATATTTAGTACATGAATTGCTTCAATGTTTTAAAATATATTTTAAGAAACTCTATCTCAGTTCTACTTTGGATATTAAAGGATAATTATTATTAAACTTTCTTATTTATCTAAGCTCATTTTATTAGATTAAACTGTCATTAAAATTATATTAAATGCATTTTTTTAAATATTGAGTTAAACATGAAATTAAATTCATATTTTTAAATTATATGATTTAATTATTATTTTACAATTGGAATAATCAAAATTATTGTAAAATTAATATATTTTTATATATTTATTAAATTATAATTAACACAAACGTTACACAAGCATATAATGTAGGATTATTATGGTAATCGGTCAAATTTAGACCCCCTCCTGGTTTTTATTGTACAAGTCGACCCCCCTATAACACTGTTGATTTTTCCGTTTTATATGAATTCCGTGTTGTACGAGTCACTTATATTTTACAAATACGTGAGCCGTTCACAGCCCAGCACACGTATTTGTAAAATCTAAGTGACTGGTACAACATGGAATTCATATAAAACGGAAAAATCAAAAGTGTTATAGGGGTTCGACTGTATTTCTTAACGTTTTGACAGTCCGAGAACCTCCAAAAAATTTAAAAAATCTCTTACAAAATTCTGTGTTGTGTCTAATTTTTTATTATATCTCAGGACTGGATGAACCAAAAATTTGAAACAGAACTAAACCCATATATATATAATGTATTGGTGCTATTAATTTTGATAGTTAAAGGTCAAGAGGTTGGGGAAATAAAGGTGGTTATATCTCGAATGGAATCTGTAAAAGTTTTACTTGTTTTATCGTTTACAGTTTCCTTAAAAACTCACTCCTACCCCCAAATAAGTCTTTTTATAATAATTAATAATATAAAAGCTATTTTTTAATGAATCTCATGTAAATTATGATTTTCGTGAAAGTCGTCGTGTAAGAGCTCTTGCCAGTCTTTATGTATAACATAACTATTTCAATTAAATAACATCTGAAGTATTACATAAATACAGAACTAAAATAAAAACATGTTAAATTTGATTGTAAAATATAATCTTAATGTTAAATCGAAGTGTAATTGCTAACAATTAATTAAAAGATGTATTTAACTTAAATTATCAATTGTTAACATTGATATTTATACAAAAGTTTCCTTCAAATCATAGTTTAAAATGGTTAATAGAATGAAAGAATTAATTAAAAATTACTCTCGCAGTTTTAAACATTGCTTAACAAATTTATTTAACTGTTTCCTCTTTATTATACTATTAGATAAATATATATAAGTGGTATTTTCTATATTCTATGATTTCTATAAAAGCCACTGTGTTATCTATTTTAACAAGCAATGATACCTTTTTTAAAAATATTTTACTGTTTTCTAAAATGCTATTGTTGGGTGTTAATTTAAAAATGTGTA